TGTTGGAGAATCCAAGGAAACAGCAACTTCAAAGCCACTGGAGATGGGGCGTGGAGGGAAGTCCCTGACACAAGAGCTGTCTCAGATCAGCCCATAGACACACAGATTATGAACTCTCCTTGTCTATCAAGCCCAATTCTGGGGTCAAAGGTGTGAGAAAGTTCAGGAGGCATCATCCCTAAATCTGGGTGGCAATAGAGAATTTTGCTGGAGTTTTTTTATTACAACCAATCTAGCTTTAAGCTGTTCTCAGAGGTTTCTGGCATCTTCCCCAAAACCCAAGTAGAGCAGAGTTGGCATTGGTGCTCTGGGCCTCCACACCTGGCAATCTGCTCTAGCAGAAAAATCAGGGCTCGAGCAGCTAAGAAAACACCCCAGCCCTGTCTTCAAGCCCATGAAGGGAAGGAAAGGCCATTTAAGATTTAAAAAAGAAATAAATGTTTCACTAAACTTAATGAAATTAATGTTTATCTTTGAAAATGAAAAACACAGTTACTCATTGCTTGTAACTGAATATTACTCTCCAGAAACAATAACAAAACTCCACGTAAATCTGAAATATTATCTTTCATAGGAGAATATCTCACAAATCTGATTTTCATGAGGGAAAATAAGCTCCTTAAGCAAGTTATTCTTGTTATCTGAGTGGAAGTGGTGTAAAAAGATTTTCTGAAACTCGAGGGATTGAGCTGAAGTGGGAGTTTTAATAAAAGGAAGTTCTGACATTTCAGTCAACTGCTTCAAAAGCGGTTTGGCAAATCTTTAAAAAGCCTCCATTAAAATGTCCATCAGCTGCATTAATGTTTTAAACATATCCCATATTTTCATAGCAGCATGTGACTGTATGGCAAAAGGGACTTATGAGCAGCAGGTCCCATCTGTGTGAGTGGAAAGGAGACATATGCCAGGTGATTCCCTTCGTTCAAGCCCTGTAATTTTTCAAAGGAAGATTATTATTCTCTCCACTCACTTGGAGAGACATTAAAAAAATCCCTGTTTCTTGTCAAATTAAAACTAGATTTTCCAAAAGGAAAAATAAAAGATACAATCCATATCAAAGCTGGTGAAATCGTACTTGACTTGGATTCAAATCTTGCATTTTAATTTGGGGTTTTTGACACACTTAAAGAACTTATTTATCTCATTTATCTAAAGGGAGACTACAAGCAGGAGGGGAGTCAACTCTTTACAAGCGTACATAATGGCAGGGCACAGGGAAATGGTTTTAAGTTGAAGGAGGAAAGATTTAGATTGGATGTCAGATGGAAGTTCTTTACAGAGAGAGTGGTGAGGTGCTGGAACAGGCTGCCCAGAGAGGTTGTGGATGCCCCGTCCCTGGAGGTGTTCAAGGCCAGATTGGATGGGGGCCTGGGCAGCCTGGTCTAGTATTAAATGGGGAGGTTGGTGGCCCTGCATGTGGCAGAGGGGTTGGGTCTTGATGATCCTTGAGATCCCTTCCAACCCAAGCCATTCTATGATGCTATGACTTTATGATCTCTCTTTCTCTCTTTTTTTTTTAGTGAAAATTATTTTTAAACATTCTGCTTTTAATAAAATGTCTCAAAATAAATCCCAGTTAAGAAAGTCAAAATAAAACATACTGACTTGATGATCCTTTTGGTCCTTTCCAACTCGGGTTATTCTGTGACTCTATGATTCTAAGCAACATACTTGCAATGAGAAGAGTGAGAGACAGATTGTCAGCGGTTTACAGGCTTGTTCAGCCCGGTTCCATGACCAGCGGGGCAGAGGGATCCGCAGATCCGCGCCTCTGGAAAAGAGAAACAGGGGACCCCAAAATAATTAAAAACAGCAGCAACAATCTGAGGAGAAACAAACTAATTTACTAAATATATTATCAGAATGCAAGATAGCACACTATAATACAATATAATCAGAATCGAAGCTAATAAATCAAATATAATGAGAGAGAGAATGTCCAAAAGGTGGATAGACCTCACCACAACGCTGAGGTGAGATGCGCAGTCCAGTTGAGCAGCAGGGAGACGGGAGCAGCGCCCACGATGAAGAGCAGGCGAGAAAGAGCACATCAGGTGACCTTGCCAGGAGTTAAACCTCCTCTCCCTGACTGCAAAGTCCCCTGGGGAATTTAGTTCTTCTTCTCTTCTGGGCAGGTACCCAAGACTTGAGCATTAACGGTCAAACTTCCAGTGTCCCACATGATGCTATATGATGTGGAATACCGAAAACCAAGAATCACAAAACTATGACACAGATGTGGAGATACAAGATAGAGTGCAATAGCAAAGAAAGGCTATAATGGGGAAAAGAAACATAATAATTTTCACAGTGAAATGGGAGACTGAACTCCATGACTGCCTGTATCACTCTTGGCAGAGCTTCATATGTTCAAGGACAGCACATGAGGCATGGACCTGAAGAGTGACAGACATGGGGTTTCAAGATGCTCAGAGTCATAATTCAGTTGTACTTTGGGGAGTAAAGGTAATCAAACATGGTTTATTTTACCTGCAAGAGCTCTTCATGTAACACGTGTACCTTAGTGTACTACTGCAATGGAGATCAGATTCATTCTCACATCTTCCTGTGTTTAAAGTTAATAATTGTCCAAATTTTTTCAAGGTTAGTGGAAATATAAAGTGCATCAGTGGGACATAAGGACAGTTTGTACATTCCACTTTGATATTTAGAAGTGAAAATTATTTTTAAGGCACTCTGTTTCTAAGTTTGTGAGACAGAGCTTTAGAAAGCATCAGCTATCTGATCTTCAAGAAACTGCACAGGAAACAAAAAGTTGTAATACATTGCTCTGATCTCCAACTGTGTAACAACTTGTTTATGGCTGTATGTTCAATCATTTTATTTGCCCTTTAGGAAATTTTCAATGATAAAACTTTAAAAAACTAGACTAAAAGAGTTTTAATTTGTGGCAAGATCCCAAAACAGCAATCAGATGATTGATTGTGAATCCACAACATCAGTTGAAATGTCTGATGGACAGCAGCCTTCATCAACTGTCCCATGATAAGCATAAAAATGACTCAGGGAACATAGGCCAAGGTAAGATGCAGGGAGCTTAGGTGTCAAAAAAATATCTGAAAGGATGTAGCATCAGAATGACACTAGAAATGTAGAAAATGAAAGAGAACTGCTCACCCTCCTTTCTTTATTCCTGTCTGCAAAAGAACTACATTAAACAACCCCAGGGAAATCTTAACATCAGAGGTAAATGGATATTCCTGCTGCCAACTGGATTTGGTTAAATTCCTGCTGGAGTCACTCAAGTTAAATCTCTTCTTTAATTTCAAGGAAAATAAAGTGTTACTTAATGGAAAGTATGGCATCCTTCCTGTTCTGGAACAATAACTCAATGGGCCACTCCCAGTCAAGGACAGGACTGTCTCCTCTACACAGAAAGTAAATTCTGATCTTTTTCTTTTGGAGGACTAACGGAAATATGAGATTTCTCTTCCTTATTCTGGAAACAGAACCAATATGATTGTAGGGAGCTAAATTCAGACCTTTAGCTACTCTTATAGGATTGCAGTGCTGATAACTGAGTTGGTAAATGATGCTGATCCTCAGAAGCCTTCAGTTTGCAGATCTAGATGTCCTGGTTCATCTGGAATCCTGTATTTAGGGTATTTTTCTTGTAAATGATTTATGAACAAGAGGCAACATATCTCATAACTATATAAGTCTGGTAAGATTCTTAACTGTCTAGTTTACAGATTTATTGTTTTTACTACAACCGCTACATATAGATGTGCAGTGTTTCCTTTCCTTCAACAGCTCATAAACAGTGAGTATCAACTTTCTTGTTCTTTTGGTTTGTAATGTTAAAGGAAAATTATTTTTCCAATGCTACCCTTTAAATAGGTAGCACAACCTGAAACCTGAACAGCAGCTGGAAATTTGTTTTTATTCCCATCAATAGAACCAGTATTTTATTTTACAATAAAATTTAAAAAAAGAAAGTTTCCACAGAATATTTTGAAGAGTTGGTTTTTCCCTTACACACAGAGATTTTTTGTCATTTTATTTGGCTTTGTTCACTGAAAATACAATTATCTTTAAGAAGTATTCCAATGGGGAGCATTAACCTAACGTGTTCTGAGTTCCTTGCCAGATCTCAAAGCTGACAGATCACAAAAGTTCACTCCTGAGACAGGGGTTTCCTTTCAGCTTATTATTTTAATACCCCACCAGCAACAGCTCTACCCATTTTGGAGCTTTAGTCAAGATATGAGAAGGGCTTGAATTTGATAACTGACCACCTATGCAAACATGGCTTTGTGCAGTGAATTTGAAAGATTTTCAGAAGAGATCCTCTGAATTGAATTCCCTTAACTTCCACATTCAAATGTTCCCTAATGTGAGTCTGGTCACAGACAACATAAATGCTGGCTGTAGCTTCCACTAAGAAAAAGAGAAAAAACTTGTAATCAATGGACCAGTAATTTGCCTCCTTCCTAATTATGTGTGTTGCCAGTCTCAGATAAATACTATCAGATGATAAAAATAAACATGTATAAATTTCGAGTGTGGTTTATTAAATGTACTCCTCTAGATTTTGCAATCTCTCTGAGTGTGATGAAGCACCAAGACTCTTGGTTCTAATTAACCAGAAATGATCAGGGAGGTAAGAGCTTGGGAAACCTTATCTCAGTCCAGTAACCCTCAGAATGGATAGCAACCCATTTTTGCTTTATTAGGGAAAATTAATGCTGCTTTCATTTCCTGTCCTCCTGACAATATTAAACTGCATTACAACACTTAGGGACAATGACAGCACAGCTGTAATGGGCATATCAAGAGAATTAAGCCCTGTATGGAAGCCAATTAATTTTTTGCTTTTCAAGTCAATTACTTCTATCAGAGAAATAAATATTAAATATTGCCTGTTCTGTGCATAACAAATGAATCCCTTAAAAAAGAACAGAGGAAAAACAATAGCAAGCTAATATACTTTGAAACAGCATAAACCAATGTTTCTCTTTATCCTTATCTCTACAAAGGAAGACAGGAAGCTCTCTGCTGCTGCTGTCTAGATTACAGGAGAGAAGCATGGAGAAAGACGGTAGAATACAGGTATAGTACCATTCCACCAGGCTTACTGCAGGGGAAGTTGTCTTTTGCAGCAAAGAAAAAAAATCTCTACTCTGATTGATCAAATTTATAACATAAGGAGTAGGTTATAGTATGCTTTGTATACTATAGTATACAAATACATACATATACAAAGTATATAGTATGCTTTGTATACTGTGTAGATATGCATAAGGGAGTGATCATAGGGTAATATGATCATTCAGACTGGAAGAGACCTCAAGACATCTTTCATCTACCTTCCTGCTTAAAATAAGATCAGCTTCAAGTTAGGTGATCATCTGGTCCAACCTTGAATGCCTTTTAGGATGAACATAGCAAAAACTTTCCCAGCAACTTTCTGTACTGCTTGACTGTCCTCATGGTAAACTGCTTTTCCTCACATCTGGCCATCTCTCTTCTTTCAATTTGTTCCCATTGGCTCTCATCTTCCCACCACACAGTACTGAACATCTTGGCTTTATCTTCTTTATGACCTCCCCATAGATAGTAGGGGTTCATAGAAATGCAAAATTCCTCCTCTGGTCTGAACACTTCCCAGTGCTTCAAATTCTGTTCCCTGGGCAAGTGCTCCATCTCAGTGAACCTCCACTGAACTCAATCCAGTAAACCAAGGGAACAAAACAGGATTAAATATCTAGGTGTAGTCTGGTATGTGTTGAGGAGAGGGGAATAATTCCTTTGATTTACAAGCCATGTTGTTATAGCTCAATTATATGTTATATATACAATATAGCTCAATTATATACAACTATATGTTGTTATAGTTGTATGACCCATTCCTCAGCCTGTCAGATCCCTCTGTTTTTTTATAAATCTACGTGTCCACCCATCTGGACAACAACATCATAACTTGGATGTAAAGAACACTTTGGCAGAGACTGAGAGAAAAATAAAGAGGTATAAATATGCTAGGTGTTAGATGAAGGTTCTCTTTCGTGTGCTCTCAATGGGTGTTGCAGTCTTTCATATAATAAAATAGTCACCACATGTCTGTGACTGAGTGCTAATTAATAATGTAGGAAAATCAAATACTTTGTTTTCAAAACTAGGAAAAATAATTTAGTTGTATGTACTGTCTGCAGCATTGTGCAAATAATTAATCAGATATATGAGAAAGTAAAAAAACCCAAACCATCTGTATTCTTTTTTTTTCTGTATGTTGTCTCTCCAGATCCATTTTGGATTGACAAATATTTTGGAAAATGTATGAAGTTATGTTAAATTATATTGATAACAAAATGGAGAGGAAATGGGAGATTAATGTCTTGACCTCACCACTGAAGATGTTTTGAGTGTTATTTGTGAAGCAAAGATGTCTGAGAGCAATGCATAAAATTTAAGTTCAGTTTCCTGCAAGAAAGCCCAGCAGTGTTACAGAGTGCACTACTTGTCATTTCAGTGCTGCTCAGGAAGTCTAGACTGTAGCCTGGGATGGACTTCCAAACTGACCACCAGAACTGTGAGTGGCTGGACTGATTTGTCCTGCAGCTGGACTTTCTCAACAATCTTTTAATATGTTGAGGTCCCAGTTGATTGGAAGCTGATGAACGTCCCAGTTATCAAGAAGTATAAGAAAGAATAAGCTAATGATTACAGTTCAGTGCCTGACAAGACTGTAGAGAACATTATTATAGGAGCTACTGAAAAATAAATGAAAGACAATGCAGACATTGGTCACAGCTAATAGGGGTACACAAGGGAAAACTACAGTGTAACCAACTAATATGTTTTTAGACAAGCTTATCCATCCAGGTGACTAAGGGACACCAGTTGATGTAATCTTCTTGGACTGTGAAAAATAAAAGGCTCAAAGCAAAGCATACTGGTGTATATGGAGCTTTCTATCATCTTTTATAACTGGAAATATAGTCTTGAAATTTTCTGACACTGCAAACTCAAGCCCTGGTATTTTATACATCTTATCTTCTGAAAACTGGAAAAAAAAAAAAAAAAAAAAGTAGGGGTCAGGAATCTATGATGAAAACCTGACAGAAAAGCAAAACTGAAAACAAACACAGTTAAAGTAAATATGGTAATAAAACTCAGACATGAATCTATTCTCTATTCTTCCTTCCCCTAGTAACTCCTGTAGAGAAATGATAGCACACAATTGCTTCTTTTTAAATTGGCTAAATATTTCTGAAAAATAATACTGTCCACAGGAAGTGATGTTCCAGAATATGTGGTGTACCCAATAGACATATAATCTCACTACTAAAATCTAGATATAACTCTAACCTCCAGATTGAATGCAGTGAGTCAAATCTGAGGTGCTCGTTGGGTAAGAGTGGAGGAGGTGGACTTGCCATTTCCAATTACAAATCAGTTAGTATATAATGCAGCACCTGCAAAACTGGACAGTTATTTTTTAGTCCACTGTCCCCAGACAAGCCATAACAGAATCTCTTGGTGCTTTCTCTGAGATTTTCTTCTGGTTTGTGGTGTCATCAATACCACTTCTTCTAGAGGAAAAATTCCTTTACCTATTAATATTAAATACCAGGTTGGGCAACAACGCTCCCTGTCTCGTGGAAGCTTCATCTTTTGTCTCATGAGCTCAGAATATCTCATAATGATCTTTAAATTTTACTTCTCAAAGATGATTGAAATAGGACTCATTTTCTGTACAGAAAAGGAAAGCTAATAACAATTATTACAAATAATTGGAGATATTTACAACATTCTTAATCCAGGAACCCTGAGATTCCTTTAAAACTGACAAAATTATTGAGGGTAACCCAACGCTGATTTTTTTATTATTTTTATTTTTTTGAGTATCACAAGTTAACTACTGGTAAAGCTTAACAGCATAAAACAAAAATAATGAACAATAGTAATAATTTTAAAAAATTCCAAATACCCAGTTTCATGAGTACTCAAGTTCTATCTCTACCTCACTGGTTTTGATGTTACATGGCCTCTTTCTGCAGGTGGAACTATTCTGCAGTACTTTTGGAAGAGCTCTCTCTTGCTTATGTACAACAATCCTCCAGGCATGTCACAAAAATTTAGAATGCAGTCAGGAAATTTTTAAGTGCATGTGAATTTACTTGGGTTTGGGTGTGCATCTTTGACCATAGTTCAGGAGTTTGGCATTTAAATATCTCATATGTCTCTGGTTTAACGTTTGTTGTTGTTTAGCTCTAATAAACCTGCTAAAGCTCAGAGAAATCCTAGGCCACAGCAGGTAGCAAGCTGCTATAACACTGTCAAGTTAAAAACAAATATCAGAAATAACTCATTTTAGGGAGTGTTTGCAAATTTAATCTAGCTATCATTTCATCTAGTGAACTTTAACATCACTGTGAAATTATCCTCACTTTTCTGCAATGATCATTTTTGCTAAGAAAAGTTGTCTTGAATGACTCAAATACTGGATAATGACTGAAATTTTTCTGTTTACTGTTTTAAGGATGTGTTTTGTTACAAGTAAGCTTTGAAAGAAAAAACAGCCCCTGAAAGCTTCTGTAAGATCTGCCCTTCCTGACATCAGAAATGTCATTATAAACAGCACTTGCTCTTATCCTCATTGATAAAGGTTTTCATTTTCAGTCAATAATTCATCAGAGCTAAGTAAAACATAAAATATGAATTTTTTATAAATTCATAATCAGTATGTTCATATGGCATTCATTGCTATGCTCTATACAACAGATTACAAGAAGTCCGGATTGATTCTTCTGCTCTCTCTATAAGGGAAACAAACTTAATTCCTTAAAGACACAGCTTCACAGCACACAAACAATATGTTAAATAGTAACAGTAAATGACCCACTGAGAGTTTTTGATTCTTTAAGCCCAGTCTAAAGATCTTACCACACATGAATTTTTATTTGCTTATGTCAAGCAAACTATACACTGGCCTATCATACAGGTATAATGTATTTCCCTGAAAGTTTTTCTTGTGGGCTTGAACTACAATGGTTACAGCAACACTATCCCTAAAAACGGATAAAATCCCATGGACTTGCATGAATAAATAGCACAGACAAAGTATCTCTATAAGCACAGCAACTGTCCATCAGTGAATAGTTGATCTTTTTATGCTTCCTATTTTCTGTAGTAGCTGAATCCACAATGAGAGCAACACAGTTAGAATCATAGTATCACAGAAACATAGAATCATAGAATCATAGATTCATAGAATCATAGAACTGCACAGGTTGAAAAGGACCACAGTGATCACCTAGTTTCAACCCCCTGCTGTATGTAGGGTTGCCAACCACCAGACCAGGCTGCCCAGAGCCACATCCAGCCTGGCCTTGAATGCCTCCAGGGATGGGGCATCCACAACCTTCTTGGAAAACCTGTTCCAGTGCGTCACCACCCTCTGTGTGAAAAACTTCCTCCTAATATCTAACCTAAACCTCCCCTGTCTCAGCTTAAAACCATTACCCCTTGTCCTATCACTATCAACCCTTGTAAACAGCTGTTCCCTCTCCTGTTTATATGCTCCCTTCAAATATTGGATGGTCACAATGAGGTTTCCCCAGAGCCTTCTCTTCTCTAAGCTGTACAAATCCACGTGCTCTGCACATAGTCAATGTGATGGCTTTGTATAAGGAATTTTCAGTATGTGAGAATACAAGTGGTTAAAAACGTACTATAATCCATGACAGAACAGATAGTTACACTGATATCAAAAGAGATGCCTGAGATTTCATAACCTCTGCTGCACAGCCAGGAATTGTTCTATATTCATCTCATTGACAGGGCATGATAATATCCTTAAAATCAACCTTTTAAACCTTCAAACTAACACAAAGGCATCTGAATGAGGAATGAGTGCACCATGCTGATTCTGTCACTTTAATTAGAGATTTTTCATTTAATTTCTCTCTCTACTGCATTAAGACTATACAGCCAGATGACAATATTACAGAAAGAAAACACTGCAATCCAAGACATAAGAAAAACATTGGTAATACTCTCATTGCCTGGACGTAAAATGAATCTCAAGGCAGTTAGAGGACAATAGCAATTTTAAATTTAGATATGTACAGTATACAAATTGATTGTGCTAAAGGCTAGTTTTGCCAAAGTAGTTTTAAATATTTAGATCAAATTTATTTCTTGAAGAAGAATCCTAGAAATGTCAAATTTTGGCATCAACAAGAAACTCTGGATTCGTTGCTTAGTCTACATATCTTAAATTGAAAATGCAGAAGCTTCATTTTATTCATTTATTTGTTAATTTTCATTCCCTTTTAAGATAAATTTTGAAACTAAGGGTTAAAAGGAACAGTGGAGAAGACAATAACTGATATTTTCACATAGAGGCATATTTGTCTATCTTACATTACAGAAACACCTTTTTAGCATTGGCTACAGCTACTGCATGAAATGGATCAATAGTTCTTGGATATTGCAACCAGAAGCTTAAACACCTTCTGCTCTCTGCCACAAGAGGCTTCTAGCAAACAGAGAGAACGTGCCCACAACATGCACACCTTTAAGTAAGTGTTTCTGAACTTCCAAGGGGTAGAGACTGTCTTGCACAGAACTGAAGAGTGTATGCCAGAAGCCATGGAGAGTCCTCATGGTGCAGGGTCTATGTCAAGTAATAGTGGGTAAGCTACTGTGTATGACTGATAAATGTCTGTTAGATAAAGGGGCTTTTTCTTGAAAAGGTGAAGAATTCTATTGCATTGGATTTAATCTCACAACAGTTTTGGAGTTTACCTGCTATTCCATCCTGTTATTTTTTACTTTTCCCTTATCTCATGAATCTGAATAAAGCAGTAATGAAAACTAAAAGCCTGATCAGACTGGTTGGCTTCGTTTGTGTTTTCTTTGTCTGATACACCCATGAAATCAACATAGACACTTGTCTGAGCTGTGTTACAGAACTCCACTGTAAGAGGCTAAAGCATTCACATAGTCATTTCTAAGTACAATTTATGTATATTGAAAACCTTGTTGAAAGGAATTTTATTGTGGATTTTTTATCATAGTGATGCCAGGAGATAGGTCTCCAGGCAAAAGGTCTCCAGGCAAAGAACATCACTGACCTGAAGCATTTTAGTAGCAAAATAGCAGAGAAAATCCTCTTTCTTTGGAAATGCAGAAAGTATGAGGAGTTGAAGGCAATAGCAGTTCTACATTTATCTTCCCCCTACATCACTATAAAATTGTGTCAATGTATTGCTTAATTTTATGATTTTTTAAAGTATGTTTAAGTATAACCACCCCCACAAACCTCTACTGAAACAATTTCTATAGAGGCAATGTCTCTACTTAGTTGTTTTTTTGTTTGTTTGTTTTTTTACATTCAGAGAAATATGTAGTGACAATAAAGCATGTAAAATGGTCACCTCTCCAGGGAAGAAAGGTCTGATAGCCACATTCTCTTATGGCTATTGTAATCTGCAAATCCTTAAATGAACTGAACTGTGGAAGAAAAATGAGGAAAATGGACAAGCTTGCATCATATTTTAGAAGAGTTAGGCTTTCCCAAGTTCAGCAGAAAAGCAGAATCTCAGTAAAAGGATATCCTTTAGGTGTTTTAATATTGATAGTGGGAAAAAGTACACACAGTTGCTAATTTGGAGGTGATGTTGAAGAGAAAACACTCTGTGGACAAAAACGATACTCTGAAAATGTGGCCATTTCTGACATTCATGGTTGTAGGAACATTTTGACAGAAAAGAAAAGGGATATATATATATATTTATATTACAATCTGTTGACTGGCAGATTGTAACAATAAGGCACATAAATGCTAGTTAACCTGCAGTTATAATACCCATAAATTCCACAAGTCTCAAAATACCAGACAGTATCCAGCTCCTGACAGCAGCTATTATGTTTTTAGTATCTTATTGAAATCCATTTCTTACATTTCAGAAATGAATATGTAAAGCCTGCTTAGATTTTATAGCAAACACTTTGAAACACATTTTAAAATTTGTGACTTTTTTTCTTTCTGTACAAATGAGTGTTAATTGGTGTTTCTAAAGAAGTGATTCAGTCTGGTAAAACTGCACCTCAAAGATTATTATACTAGCAGAAAAATAGTTAGCTGTGTTGTAGAAATGCTCAACCCAACTACCCCACCATTATCAGAGTTGCAAATCATCCTTTAAAAGCACTGTGAAGTCATAGCGTACCGCAAGGAGCATGGTGCAATCCTAGCAGAATGTCGCTGTATGAGTGCAATTTACTATTAATGTTCATTTTATCTACCATGAAAGGTGCCTCCCTGGATAGTGTTGTGGGCCCTTTTAGCAGAAATGGATACCATTACAAAACCACCCATCTCTGAGGATGGTTCTGCAGGACTGATAAAGAAATGGCACTGTTGCTCCCTAGATGATTTTCAGCTGTGCTGCTGAATAAAATGTGATGTAATATGGGCAGTAGCTAGACAGAGATCCTCTCACGAACAGAAAAAGAATAAATAATTCCCTCTGGGACCCACAAAGTTCTACTGTGAAACGCATGTATACCCTCCCTCCCAGTTCCCTAAGGCCATCATATCTTTATGTTATGATATTAAGAAATTTCATGAGGAAAGACAGACAAGGCATATGGATATATAATAATGAGATCAAGCAGGATACTGATTTCACCCTGGGGTCATCATATGAGCTGTTTTGTACAGAGTGAACCCAGCTTCCTCTGGTGGAAAATTGAGCTGGCCATTAAACATAGATTTTATTTGTTTAGTGGGACAGTCAATCCCTAATCACTTTAGGCTTGGTACCACTATGTAGAGTAATAGCTTATCTGCTGTGGAGGCAGGTTTTGCCTTAGGCAAAAGTGATATATGGAGTCCTGGGACCAATTTCAGCAGTGGGTAAATGTCATGGTAGAGGAATCAATGTAGAGCAAATGAATTAACACTCTTCTACCTTACTCAGCTCCAACACCTCATTTTCTCTTGGAGGCTGTCCCAAGACTGAGAACAGCTCAAGCAGCAGTTTCTAGATGATTTTCACCAAAGTAAAATACAAAAAGTTGCCAACGTGCTGGATGAAGCCTAGAAATTAATCTGGGGTGAGTCCAAGCTGACTTCCTTGGACGTTCATGTTGTTTCCAGAAATGCACACAGAACCTCATATCAGAATCCTTGTGTCCACTGTATTTGACTAAAACATTTGCCCACAGGAAAACACTGCCCTTCCCTGTCCTCTCATTTTGTGTATAATCTCCCAGCCACACTCATGTCCCTGTTAACCAGGCTTAGAAAATGAAACATCATTGTGAAAATTTTCCTCTTTACACGTAATGTAAATCTACTCTTTCATTTTAAAGCCACTTTCCCTTGTGTCAGTATTACATGTCCTAACAAAATATTTCTTCATATCTTTTGTATAAGCCACTTTTAAGTAATGAAAGGCTACAGCAATGTCTTCTTGGAGCCTTCATTTCTCAGGCTCTCTTAACCTGTCTTCATAAGTGAGGTGCTCCAACTCTCTGATTCTTTTTGTGGCTCTCTTCTGGACCTACTCTAACAGCTCAACTTCCTTCTTGTGATGAGGGCCCCAAAGATGGATGCAGTACTTCAGGAGGGGTCTTAGAAAAGCAGATCAGAAGGGGACAAATAGCCTCCCTTGATCTGCTGTCCACACTTCTTTTGATGCAGCTCAGGATTCAGTTGGTTTTCCAGGCTGCAAGTACACACTGCTAGCTTGTGTCCAATTTTCCCACATCCTCCTCTGGAGGTCATTCTCCTCTGGGCTGCTCTCAATCCATTTATCTCCCAGTCTGTACTGACCCTGGGAACTGCCTGGATCCAGGTAAAGCACTTTGCACCTGACCTTGTTAAATAAACTTCATGACTTTCATATGGGCCCAATACTCAAGTCTGTTCCATGTCCCTTTGTATGACATCCTTTCCTTCTTTTATGTCAACAGCATCACTCTTCTTGGTATTGTCCACAAACTAGGAATTCACTTAAATCCACTGGCTCTGTGTTATTAATAAAAATATTAAACAGTAATGGTCCAAATACAGACCCATGAGGGCTACTCACTACTGATCTCCTGGACACTGATTGACAGCAACTCTCTGGATGCAGTCATCCAGCCAATTCCTTATCCACTGAGCAGTCCATCCATCCAATTTTACATGGGACCTGCCATGAGAGTACCCTCCAGTATGAAGCCAGAGATGAGAGATGTAGGAACATTTTAGGAAACTTGAAGGGTTTCAACACATATAATACATGTAATAGTCTTAAGTATCAAATAAATCAGAAGTTCCTCAGAAGCTCATTAGCAGGTTCATGAATCTGCATTTAGTAGTGGTACATAAATTTGAGGTGATCTGGATCCTCAACAGGGCACTTGTCTTCAGAAGGGACTTAGCTCCTTTTAAATGGATAGGAATTCAGATGCTAAAGCTCTTCTGAGGGCCAAACTCTGTAACTCCAGATGCTTTCAGCCATGAACTGCATGAAAATGAAAAAATGCCACATTCTGAACCGTATATGTGTCTAGGGCAGCATGCTGTGTTGAGAAATAACCTGTGAAAAGCCCCTTTTCTTCAGCTTTAGATGAACTAGGGAGTAACGGAGGGTGTTGAGTGCCTCATGGTACTGAGAGCAAAGATTGCTGAGAGGTAAATGCACGTATATCTCTACAGCATGAGCCTGATGTGTCTGTGCATTCATTCAGCAGCTGCACTTCCCTGATTTCATTGTTACATGATGACATCCTTACCTATCTCCTAGAGAAAATGTAAAAGGACAGCCAGATAAATTCTTACTTTTTGTGCAGAAAATAGTAGTCTCACGTATAAGAGGAAAGAAGTGAGGAGGGATAAAATTAAAAACATAAATGAAATGCTAAAGAGATATCACATTCCTGACCTATGCATACGGAACAGCATGTCAGATTGCATCAAGCTGTGCAGAAAGACTGTCCTGTGGCTCGTTAGCCTGGCTTGATGTTGACTTCAGGGAGATCCTTACATATGTCATTTAAAGTAATAATGATTTTTCTTATGTCAGTTTCATTATTTGTGAACTCCTCTAATGTTAGCAAGCAAGACAGAAAAATTGAGTTACACTGTAGTCTGGCATTAACACTTCACTGTCCCCGCACTGATGTGTGCATAGGTGGTTTCAGCTGGGACAGAGTTGATTTTCTTCATAGAGGCTGGTATGAGGCCATGTTTTGGCTATAGGAAGAAAACAAAATTGAAAACAAATGGATGTTTCAGTCGTTGCTGAGCAGCGCTGCACAGAGCAAGGATGTTTCAACTTTTCACATCATCCTGCCAGCAACAGGGTGGGGTCCACAAGGACCTGTGAGGGAATAGAACCAGGACATCTGACCCAAATGCCTGAAGGGATATTTCATGCCATATGATATCATGCGAAAAAACCCTATTTTCACTCTTTCAACCACAAACTTTGTACACACCTTACAGTTTGAGGAAGGTAGAATGACATACAGAGAGCAAACTTCATCAAGCTGGTGTCAGAGCATCATGTTCATTTCCATGGCCTTTGAGTAGAATAAGGATTTGGAAAACTGGTTTGAAGACATCATGCAAATATCCTGATGTGTTTCAGCACCAGCGTGTGATTCACCACGACTGTCTCTGTGTGTGGACACTTTCTGAGAGTATTGGGTTTTGTGTACTTTCACATACCGTGGAATTGGAAATACTGATGATAGGTGGATGGTAAAACTCAATGATCTTGGAGGTCTTTTCTGA